ATATGTAATGGTTTTGGCTAGAGTGTTCTGTAGAGGTCTAGCTCCTCATTTAAGGCTATTGTTTCCTTTTTTATGCTTTGATTCGTCCAATATTAAAGTCTGCTAGTATTATTGCGTTATCAGTATGTCCCTTAAGTTCTGTTATTATCTTACATAGTTTGGTTCTCCATCATTCAGTGCATGTATATTTATGAGTGTTGTTTCTTCTCTATTAGCCTCTAAATCATAGTAAGTTGTTGGTCTCTATCTCATTTTACCTTTCTTATTTGGAAGTCTATTTTATCAGGCATAATTGTTTCTGATTTTTTGAGTTTATCACTTGTGTATATAAGGGTCTTTCAGTCTTTAGTCTAAGTCTGTGCTTGTCTTTGTTGGTAAGATAGTTTTCTTGTCAACAACAGAAGGTTGGACTTTGTTTTGATAACTAGTCAGCCTTTCCACATCTTTTCACTGATGCGTTCAGACTGTTTACCTTTAAGGTAGTTATTAAAACGTAAGTGCTCATTGCCATTTTTTTTTAATTTGGTGTGGGTTCTTTCATGTTTTGGTGGTTTGAATTGTCTTTTTTATTTTTTGAAGGCTTCTTGCTTTGTTTTGTTTAAATTCCATTTCCTTTGTCTTATGTGTTACTTCTATAAATTCTAGTGTGAGGTTTCTACTATGGTTACTGTATAATGAGTTATTTGTGTGTCCATTGGTTGGTCTGGTCTCTGAATCTTTTTGATGGACCACATTGTTACTTTCCTCCTCCAAGTTAAGTGATTTTGTGTGTCTGTTACCTCAGTGTTCATTCTTCTGTTGCTTTATAATAATCTCTCTAGAATTTCATGTGCTTCTTGGTGGTTTTAAATTCTTTCAGTTTTTGCTTTTCAGTGAAGCTCCTTATTAGTACCTTCTATGTGAATATTAATCTTGCTGGCTAAAGAATTTTGGACTGGAAGGTTTTAGTGTTTTGTTTGTTTTTTTTGTACTTTAATACCTCTTCCCAGTTCCTTCATGCTTGTAATGTTTCTACTGAAAAGTCTGTTGACAATCTGATTGGTGTTCCCTTATAGGTTACCCCTTTTTTCTCTTGATATTTTAATATTCTGTATTTGTCATGTCTTGGTATGTGTCTAGTATGATTTTGTTTGGAGCTCTTTGTGCTGCTTGGATTTCACATCTGTGTAATTTTCTCATTTAAAGTCTGTTGATACTTAGTTTGTGTTCTATCTTAGAAAAAATGTCCCTTGTGTACTTCAGAAGAATGAGTATGTTATCGTTGGTGGGTACAGTGTTCTATATATATTTATTCAATGTAGTTGATTAAATTTTTGTTTAAGTCTTATATTTCCTTATCTGCTATCAGGTTCTGTCCATTGTAATAAAGTGAGTTATAGACATCTCCAGCTATTAAATTATCTGCTTGTTTCTCAGTACTGTCAGGTTTTGCTTCAGATGGTTTGATGGCCTGTCAATAATTGCATGAATGTTATCACTTTGTTCATTGATAACTGGGCATTACGATGTCTCCTTTGTGTAATATTAGTACAGTCATCTCTGGTCTCTCGGTTACTGTTTATATGGTACATCTTTTTCCATCATTTCACTTTAAACCTGTTTGGTTTTTTGGATTTCTTCTGAGTTGTAGGCACTGTATTTTGCCAAGCCTTATATTTTCATTGGAGCATTTAAAGGGACTTTGTGTTGTTACGCTAATTGCATTCTGTATGCCTTACAGCTTTTTGTCCTTTCTTGTATTACTGTTCTTTGTATGTAGTTGGGTTTTTTTCCCCAGTGAAATTTAAAGCTTTTATTTCCTTTTGTGTATATTCTACGGCCATTTTCTTTATGGCTACTAATATCATCCTAAAGTTATAATACTCTAAAATTAACCTATTTATTTATTTTTAAAAGATTTATTTATTGGGGCCTCCCTGGTGGCGCAGACAGTTGAGTGCAGTGCTGTGAAGCTGTCTGCAGCCTCTGCAGTGCCGGTTCGATCCCCGCTGGCCTTGGAGCCACCCACATGGGGAGCAGACCTCTCCTGTCTCGCCTGCTGCTCCCCTCAGCAGAGTGTTTCGTCAGTCTGCCTGTTCTGTTCCCCGCCTGTCTCTGGTGAATCCTCTCACTCTCCCGCGCATCTGGCCTGTACCCAGACTTTTGTATAAATAAAATAAATCTTTAAAAAAAATAAATAAAAATAAAAGATTTATTTATTTATGCATATAAGAATTGGGGTACAGGCCAGAGGTGCGGGGGTGGGGGGTGGGTGGGAGGATTCACCAGAGACAGAGTGGAAGTAGAACAGGCAGACTGACTGAAATACACTGCTGAGGGGAGCAGTGGGCAAGACAGGAGAGGTCTCCTGCACCAATGTGGGTAGCTCCCTGGCCGGCTGGGGATTGAACTCATGCTGAGGAGGCTGTGGATAGCTTTGGTACTGTGCTTAACCCCTTGCTCCACCAGGAAGGCCTTAAAATTAACCAATTTAAACTTCAGTAACATCCAAAACTCCTTTATAGCTACATCTCCAAATCCTTTTAATTGTTAATATAATAAAATTATAGCTTTGTACTTAATGTGACCCTCCAAACATAAGCTGATTTTTTTTAATTCATTAGGATCTAAAATTACACAAACAAAATGATTCATGTTACAAATCAAAGTTATAGTAATACTAACTTTTTGCACTTTTCCCTTTAAATGTATATTTAAGTTATGTAGAAAACAAAAAGTGCAGTTACAAACCATTGTTAATAATAATGCTGTTGGGGCCTCCCTGGTGGTGCAAGGAATTAAGTCTCAGCACTATCAAGCTATCAGCAACTACTGCAGCATAAGTTTGATACCTGGCCAGGTAGCTAACCCACATGGCACAGACCTCTATGTCTCTCCCGCTGCTCCCTCAGCAGTGTATTTCAGTAGATCCACCTATTCAGCTCCCCACTCTGTCTCTGGTGAATCCTCTCACACATACCTACCCCTTGCACCTCTGGCCTACACTCCAGTTCTTGTATGCAAAAATAATTAAATTAATCTTTATAAAAATAACAATGCTCCTTTATAATTACATGTGTTTTTACCTTTGTAAAGATGTTTATTTCTCTGTATGACTTTGAGTTACTGTCTAGTCAGCTTGCAGGACTCCCTTAAGCATTTCTTGTAGGGCTGGTCTAGTGGCCACAAACTCCCTCAGCTTTTGTTTACCTAGAAATGTCTTCATTCTACCTCACTTGTGAAGGATGTTTTTGCTGAACAAGAGATACTTGCCTGGCGGGGTTTTTGTTTTTTAGTGCTTGAAATGTTTTGGCCCCTTGTCTTCTGGCCTCCAAAGTTTCTGATGAGAAATTTGCTAATCTTATTGAGGATCCCTTGCACTCTTGGCTTTGGAAAGTTTGATTATAACGTGTCTCAGTGTGAATCTCTTTGAGTTTATCTTACTTGGAATTCATTGAATTTCTTTGTTTGTATCTTTCATCAAATTTGGGGAGTTTTCAGCCATTATTTCTTCTAATAGTCTCTCAGACCATTCTTCTGGAATATCTGTAATGCATATTTTGGTCAACTTGTGTATTATAGGTCACTTAGACTGTTAATTTCAGTCTTTTTTCTTTCTTTTCCTCAGATTCAATAATTTCCATTTTCCTATCTTCATATTTGCTGGTTTTTCTTCTCTGTGTTCAAACTTGCCTTTGAATCCCTAGTAACCTAGTAAAATTTTCATTTCAGTTATTTCTACTTATCCATTTTGTTCACATATCATTTTCTTGACTTTATTCATGTTGTCCTTCAGTTCTTTGAGTATCTTTAAGGGAGTTATTTTAAAGTCTTTCCATTATATCTTTTTCAAGGACCACCTCTGCTGATTTTTTCCTTTGAATAGACTGTGTTTTCCTGTTTCTTTTATATTTTGTGATTTGAATATTGAAGTTTGACTCTAATAATGTACTAATTCTAGAAAATTTCCTCTCCCTTTCTCAGGGTTTGTTTCTCTTTGTTACTGTTTTTATTTTTTTGTGTTTGTTGAGGTGATTGTATAGGGTCTTCCTTGAAGAGGGTTATTTATTGCCTGAAGTATAACTTTAAGCACGTCTCAGATCTTTTCTGAGCCTATTCCTGGGTATGCATGCTCACTTTTCCTTTATGTGCTGTTTTTGAATGTCCTACTCTTTAGTGTTTGGCTCCTGAAAAACAACAACAAAACAGAAAATAAATGTGAGAGATAAGGGATGTTAGTCCTTTAATGTCCCTTCAAGTCACCTTAGCTGAAAGAGGGAGGGCTTAACCAATAATGGAGGGAGGTGCAGCAACAATGACTACCTGCTGCTTTCAGAGCAGTAATCAAGTATTAGAGCACATCTGTGCTATGTGGAGGATAAGATCCATTTTTGCCCATTATGGCCCCCCACAAGCTGTGTGCAAACTACCCTAGGAATAGGGTGTTAGGTGGGTAGTTGCTACTGTGCTGAGAGCTGAAATTACTCAATTTTACTGTCCAAGACTTACCTTAGGAGTTACAAGCATTCAGCAGAGTCTAGAGTTCCAAAATAGTTACACCGGAAAGATTCTGCCAGTACATTTATTGTCTAGGTATGAGATAGATTCCTGGTACATCTCACTCTGTCATCTTCTCAGAATTCGCTTCCTTTTTTTAGAATAAATACTTCATTTTATGTATATTTCACATATTCATTATCTGCCATTGAATACTTAGATTGCTATCATGTCTTAGGCGTTGTGAATAATGTTGCAATAAAATCAGAGTGCAGATATTTCTTTGAGATCCTGTTTTTGTGATTCCTGATTGAAGCTTGTAAAATCTCCTAATGGAAATATTTATCAGATCTCATGTTAGAGTAGCTTGTAGACTATCCAGAATGTTCAGGGTCAAACAAGACAATGAGAGCTAAACACTCAAGAGTTGGACTTTCAGAAACAACACAGTCTACTCATTTCAGTGTTTTTTTTTCAGTTAATAAATTACCTGAAATGAAGAGATGCCATTTGCTTCATTCTAGGCATGCCAGGCTGCCAAGAAAACAAAAGCAGATGACCGAGGAGCAGATGAAAACACTTCAGAGCAGACGATCCTTAATATGATTTCACAGAGCTCGTCAGACACAACTATTGCGGGTTTAATGAGCATGTCGACTTCTACCACAAGTGCAGTGCCTTCCCTTCCAGCCACCGAAGAGACATCTGGCAACTTAAGCAATGTGGAGATGTTGCAGGGCGACCGTTGGCTTTCCTCCCAACCTCCTTTTAAACTAGAACCTGCTCAGGGTCATCGGACTAGTGAGAATTTAGCACTTATGGGAGTTGATCATTCCTTGCAACAGGATGGTTCAAATGCATTCAGTAAGCAGAACAGTAAGAGTGCGCCATCGGCAAAAGTATCACTAAAGGAATACCGTGCAAAACATGCAGAAGAGTTGGCTGCCCAGAAGAGACAACTGGAAAACATGGAAGCCAATGTGAAGTCACAGTATGCTTTTGCTGCCCAGAATCTCCTGTCTCACCATGACAGTCATTCTTCAGTCATCCTGAAAATGGAGGGTTCAGAAAATCCTGAGCGGCCTTTTCTGGAAAAGGCTGATAAAACAGCTCTCAAAATGAGAATCCCTGTGGCAAGTGGAGACAAGACTGTCCCTTCAAAACCAGAGGAGATAAAAATGCGCATAAAAGTCCACGCTACAGGGGACAAACACAGTTCTGTAGATGACAGTGCCTCCAAGAGTCGAGAGCACAAAGAAAAGCACAAGACTCACCTGTCTAATCATCATCATCATAATCACCACTCACACAAGCACTCTCACTCACAGCTTCCAGCTGGTACTGGGAACAAACGTCCAGGTGATCCAAAACATAGTAGCCAGTCAGGCACCATAGCACACAAAACTTACAGCTTGTCTAGTTCTTTCTCCTCTTCTAGTTCTACTCGTAAAAGGGGCCCTACTGAAGAGACTGGAGGGCCGCTATTTGATCATCCCGCCAAGATTGCCAAGAGTACTAAGTCCTCTTCCATAAACTTCTCCTTCCCGCCTCTCCCTGTGACCCAGTTGCCTGGGCATAGCTCAGACACAAGTGGCCTTCCCTTTTCACAGCCCAGCTGTAAAACTCGAGCTCCTCATATGAAACTGGACAAAGGCCCCGCTGGGGCCAACGGTCACAACACAAGCCAGACGATAGACTATCAAGATACTGTGAATATGCTTCACTCTCTCCTCAGCGCCCAGGGTGTTCAGCCCACTCCGCCCCCTACGTTTGAATTTGTTCATTATAGCGAATATCTCAATCCACGGGCTGGTGGAATGTCTTCCAGATCTGGCAACACAGACAAACCCCGGCTACCACCTCTACCGTCAGAACCTCCTCCACCACTTCCACCCCTTCCTAAGTAAAAGAGAAAAAGAAGAGAAGGAAAAAAACTTCTTTTAAAAAAATGCTTTTTTTTTTAAACTACTGATTCTGGACTAAGAAAATTTCTTCCCTTATGAAATGTTATCCTTCTTAGGCTAAGGAATAAGTTGATACTGAGATGTAGGTGGGAGGGTGGTAGAAGGCCTTGGTTATTGTATCTGCTGCCTCAGAAATGTAACTATTTTATTATAGTTTTTACCGGTATTAGAGAATTAAGAAGGTGTTGAAGCTGTGAAGGATTAAGAATACGTTTCTCTATTCTTGGCCACTCCACCTCCTACGTAGGTTGACTAAAGTTGATATATCTTCCCTCTTCTTGCCAGGACTAAAATACGGAGGGTTTGTTTTATCAAACAGTTGTGCATTCTTTGGTGTTTAATATATCAGAAGAGAGGAAGTATTTAATCGTCAAAATCTTTTAAGAGACTTAAAAAATAATTTAAAGAAAGTAAGTTATCTGTTTAGTTTTTTTATATAATTGGGGAGGGATTTTGCTGTGTGTATGAGATACATAGCAGTGACTCCTGGGGGTGGGTGAGGGAGGCGGGAGGGTGAGGGTCTGTTGGGAGGGGAGGGTAGACTTTTGGCCATGAGTTCTAAAATTGGCTCTGGCCACTTGAAGTGTTCAGACCTTTAAGTGTGTATGTCAGCGTGGGTATGTGTGTTTTTAAGTGTGTGTGTTTAAAAATCATGTTTTTATCTTTCCCTCCCTGCCCCTCACCATTTTCATTCCCCAACAATTCACCAGAGAATGTGGTGTGGCTTTTAGAACATAAAGGAAGGGAAAGGCCTGCGTTTGGACATGGTGTTTTCCCTTTCATGTTGTAATTCAGTGGTTGCCCTCTAAATTCTAGTTGGGCAAATGCAGCCAGTGATCTGACTCCAGATATTATAAAAATTTCCTTTATATCCCTTTTTTCCTTTTGATGCAGACAGGTGGGGTTGAGGAGGAAGGGTTGGAGAGCTTTTGCCCTACAAATCAGGTGTGTCTTTTTCAACATAGGCTTTGGGAAAGTGTTCAGGTGAGAGCAACCCCAGGGTCTCTGAGGGGGAGGGGAATATCTATATATATCCTGCCTATAAAACCCAGACCATATGTAAGAATAGTTCTGGGAGAAGCCTTGGAGGTAGAGGATGAAAACAATGAAATTGTGATAATAAGAGTATTTTAGGACATTGTATTTTTAATTACATTATGAATGTAAGACTTTCTTCTTATCTGTGTAATTAAGGGAAATGCTGTATCCTCAGCTTTTGCAGACCATGCGACTTCAGGTTGGAGCTTGTAAATTGAAGTTACTGGTGTGAAGTGGACAAGCCTAGCATACAGATACTGTTATGTCTAGATTTCCCATCTTTGGTGATTTTAGCTCTTAGGCGGAATTTCTTAAGGAGATATTGAAGAGCCCTGTATTAAAGAAAGAAAGAAAGAAAAGGGTCAGGAATCCTTTTCTATATAGGCGATTAGTTATCCCAGATTTTAGGAGTGAACATTTTTCTTGAGGGAAGAAACCTTTGAAGGGACTAGAAGGACTTCAAAGCCAAGCCAAGCTGTCTAACTGAAAATGCCACCAAGCCACAGATCTTTTGATGTGATAGTGTTCATGACATTTTTTGCTATGGAAGAGATGATGTGATTTCACTTTATCTTGTTTTTAACGCAACTTCCTTCATAACAAATATTCTTTATGAAGAAATGGACTTTTTTTCTATTGGAAGTCTGGGAGACAGGAGTTGTACATGTGCTGCTGCTTCCTAAGAACAAATTGGGGAGAAAAGTGAGGCATTTGGAATTGATGATGCACTGGCTTAATAGAGGATGAAGCTTGTAGAATAAACCTTAATGAAAGTGAATTAGTTTCCTGCATCTCTGCATGTTTTACTGTTAGAGTGCCTGCCGTTGCTTGTAGAATGAGTTCTCCGCTGGCCTATAAACTGGTAATACTTTGGACTTGGAATGTCACTTCACTTTTATAGATGACATATTTCTCTTTGTCCTTGATACTATCTGTGTTGTGCTAGGTAATTGGTAGATATGTGGTGTGTTTACTAAAGTTGGACTTTCCATTTGTTTAGATTTTGTTTGGTGGTGTCTGATTTCCTTCCTGACCCTCCCAAAAGGTTATTTAGTTTGCATTGATATCTTTATGGAATTGATGATCACTGATAATGAAAATGTCTTTTCCAGGTTTTAGTTTTTCTCATCAAATATCACATGTTTTCTAATCACATGCACTTCCTCCCCACAGCGGCACACATATCCACTTGGCTCATAGCAGTTTTCCATGCCAGTTTATACTTTGTTCCTTAAAACTTTGTCAGGAATGAAGTAGAAAAAAATGCTTACTAGAGCCAAGAGATGCTTCGTGTTGTGTAGTCTGACTTTTGCATTAGTAGATCATTGTTGATACAGGTCGTTTAGAAAGCTTTCTATATCAATGCCTCCTAATACTAAGATACCTACAGTGTCTGCTTTTAGATCTATGCATATGTCATGAACCTCCTTATGGGCTCTGCATGAAGCTGCCACATTACCTCTGGGTTTTTAGCAGATGTGCGCCTGTCCACTAGCATGTGTAGTGTCCAGATTCCATAAACTTAGGCTTCAAAGGATTGTGTGGCTTCTACAGTGTGTTTTCTTTATGACTGCACCTTCAGTGGGTGAAAAATGAGATACATCCATCCAGGGTTAGTCTAGTAAACATGGCTCTTTTCCCTCCTTTTAATCTAGACTATCGAAAATAAGTGGTGATAAGCGGACTTGGAGCCTAAAGTTCCATAGGTGTCATTCCTAAAACTTTGCTTAAGTCTCATGCTGGCTAAAACAAGTACCTGTGAATTGTTCTTACACTTTTAATTTGATACCTGTTAGCTTTTAGCTGCTAGCTGAACACTAGGGAAGCATTAATGTAAATCTAAATTGGTCTTCTGAGCTATCAGTTATGCTTTTTGGGTTTAAGGGATATGTAGGAATTAGTCTAGCCTTCCCACTCATGAATCAATGTGCTTTCTATATCTGAGACTCTCAGCTGCCTTTTTTATTTTTTAGTAATATTTAGTGTTTTAATGTATCCTTTTTCATAGTTTTGTATTATTGGCTTCACCAGTATTGACAGAACAATTTTAAATCTCCAGTTGAAAATAGTAATCAATTAAGTTACAGAAATAAAATCATGGTAACATCAGTACTGGATTTCCTTAAGCTCTGCTACCTAATTGCCCATGTTGAAAATGCATGCCCCTCATACCTTACTTCTGGACAGAGAGGCACTTAGAGGAGTTACATTCCAGGATGGTGGTTGAATTTTTAAACGTGTATTTCCCATCTTTTGGGAACAGATTAATTTTTTAAGGGATTATTTGTTGATGATTCGTTTTGATACTAATGCTAGGAAAAGGGAGATTCTAGAACATCTTGAAATTGGAATACCAGTATTCTCTTGGGTTCGGGAGAATTGAAGCTGTCCGTGTACCCCATCACATGGTGAGAAGCCCTCCACAGCTCCACTAAGCTTTCAGTGACTAGTACTTACCCGATTTCTTGTATTGCTGTTTGTTACCACTCAGCCTTTAACTATTTACTCCTGATGGTTTAAGAATTTTCATGTTGTACCACACTGTCAAATTTTATTATTTCTTTTTCCCCTCCTCTATGGATGTGAGTCTGAAACAAACATGGTACTGTAATCCTGCCTGGTAGAGTGGTCTGGAATGAGAATTATTTATAAGTGGGGGGGGGGCCCTCCATTTTAATGTTTTTATTAAGAACTTATCATTGGAAAAGGGAGGGAAAGAAAATGAATGTTTACTAAAAAAAATGTCTGCTCTTCCCTTTTATGAGTGTATATTCATGGTTGAATGAAAAGAGAAATACTTGGGTTTTCTGTTGCCATGTTAAGTATGGAGAGGGATGCTTGACAGCATGCTAATTGAAGCCAGAGCAAGTATGTCTCCATCAGGTCGTCAGGAACTCTTCAGTTGAATGCTGAAGACTAGCTAATTAATGGTTGATCACGTTGGAATTAGTTGCAAAATGGAAGTGGCTGGCTGGTTAAGCACCTAAAAAAAGAATACAACAGCCTAATTGAGTGTTAACCTAGGTTTCTGGATTCGAAACTAACCTTTCCCCCACCCTATTCTACACACCTGAAACTGTCCGTTTTCTTATCAGACCAAAGAGCAAAGAAGAAAAAGTTTCATAAAAACACTTTTACCAATCTATGTCACTCAGGTACAATTTTGTGGTAAAATTTTTGTCTGTATTCTTTGTATTGCTCTTAAGAGTCCTTAGTATATTATTCTGCTGTTGCCTCTGTCCTCCTTGGGGCACCTCAGTTCTGGATGCTACCCCCCCTGGGATCTCTACTGCTGTTATGTGAATAAGATGTAAGTGACTATTACAGTAAGGGCTCTTTGTAAAAAATTTTTTTAAAAATTAAAAAATTTTTAAAAAGGATGTTGTATACATTTTATAGTCTGGCTATCAGTTTGATATCTTGCTGTCAAGTATGTTTCTCAATCTGTATTTATCCATCCCATCAATAAATGTTAATGACAAAACACTCACCTGGTCGTTATGTGTCCTGAGTCTTCAGACTAGTCTTATTATTTTATTGATATGGTTATGGGTTTAATTTTGGTAATAGGATACATTCTTCCTGCATAGGATCTGGTGGGAATTGAATCCATTGGAAAGACCTACTATTTGGTCATCACAGTGAACTTAATCTGATAGTATAAAATATGTCAGAGAAAAGCCCTCACTGTTGCATGAATACCTGGCAGAGTTAATGGTAAACAGAAAAATATCCTAATAGATGTTAGCAGCACATACTACTTATCTAGCAAGCATTATTAATGTGCTTCGTAATTGTGTACTTAGTTTTTAGAAAAATCTGAAATGTTAATATAGACACTGCATTTGGTAGATAGATAAACTTTGGTCATACCCAGAACAATTGAATGAATCCTCACCTCTCTTCTGGGATACAAAATCACAATACAAACTAAGAATTGTAAGTGACACATTTAAAGAGAAAGAATTTTTATGCTAAAACCTCCAAAATTATAACAAAGCAGTAGCTGTAGTTGAAACACTTGGAAAAAATCACTTGAGTTCTATTCTATTTTCTTAAATAAGGCAAGTTTATATCTGTACCACTCTTGAAACTTTTGTGGAAATTGCTGACATTGTGGGTATTCTGGTCTAGTTTGAATGGGAAGATAGAGAAGCAGTAAATGAATGTGGGAATGGATATTATATAATTATAAAATTAGTGATTTGCTTTTGTTAAAGTTAATATCAGCTCATCCTTTGGAAGAAAACAAATAAATTTGCGTATAGGGCCTCCCCGGTGGCGCAGCGGTTGAGCGCTGGGTTGTGAAGCTGCCCCCGGCCTCTGCAGCGCTGGTTCGATCCCCAGCTGCTCCCCGGCCACCAGAGGAGGGTCCCACATGGCACGCAGACCTCTCCTGCCGCCCGCTGCTCCCCTCAGCAGTGTACTTCGGTCCTTCTGCCTGCTC